ATTTGTCAACCTTCAACAAAAATACTTTATTAACCATATGGTTACAATCTATAATAATTTAGAAATTCAGAACGTCATAACACAGCAGTCAGCTAATACATTACAGCTCAGTAGCACTGTATGGTAATGTTAACATTTGAGGGATTTTAAAGAAATAGCTACACTAAATAAATAAAATATATATATGCGTGTTCATTTCTTTACCTTCACTTCCATTCTGAGGCTGCAATGGACGTACAGATGGAGCTGGAGCTGGAGCTGTACTCTGTTGTGCCCTTGACTGACCTACAAAAAAAACATGACAAGAATATTAACATTAAACATTTGATCAAATTAAATCCCTCTAGACAAGGTGACATGCATCAATGCTCAAATGAAACTGTTTATTAGACATCCCACCCTGCAAACATTTCAGGGAGATATATACAGAGCAAAATTAAATGTATTAAAATAGAGTCTCAAACATCAATTTCATTACAAACTTACTTATTTTAGCACTTCTGTCAGTGACTCAAATCCCACAGAATGAAGTAGTTTAATTTCATTCAGTGTCATTCCAGTGTGTCATTCAGTGGGACTCAATATTGTTCAATATTGTGAACAATATTGTTCTCTGTATAATCTTGTGTAATATGACAGTCCCAATAGTCATTATTAGTCGTGCATTGTCGTTTGAGCTGTGCACGCTAAAGATCACGTCAATTCTTAACCAAATGCATCCAATATGAGATAAATCAGATATAGATAGGCGAACACCAAAATAAACTATTACAACTTACATTTGCACAAAACAAAAGGCTGCGAATGCACACGCAAACTTAGTCGAAGTTGACGAAGGTGTAAAATAGTCCCAAACAACTCTGGTGTGTATCATTCCAGTGTGTCATTCAGTGGGACTCAACACTTCACCACACGGGCGCGCTCACTTACATGTTTCGTGGTTGAGCAGCACGCACGCACTGCTTAATCAATGAGATACATTTTATCGATTAAATGTATTATCGACAATTAATCAATCGTCGATTAATCATTGACATCCCTAGTGTGATGTAACATTTAATTTAACAAAGTAAAAGAACATTTAAAAAATAAAAAAATAAATAAAAATTGGCACTCTATTGGTGGGGCATTTGTCAAGTTAACCGGAATAGCCCTAGTCACAGGAGATGCAAATGAAATGCATAAGGTAATGCCTCTTGACTGACCACCTGTGATCAGATTACTGAAAACACAGTATAAAAGGACAACCACATTTCTGTGATTGAAACCGAAAATTCTCGGGACAGTTGCATGTGTCCAAATTTTAAATCTTAACCGTTCTATTTCATCAGAAACGATCTTGAAACAGGGCTTTAAGTGTAAATACCGAACTTGTCCTTTAATACCAGGTTGAAACCACCTCACTCGATTTCTAGGATATTCTACATAATTTGCAAGCATAAGGGAGCCACTATCAATTTGCGGGAGACTCCAGGATGTCTGCTTTATATGAGCAAAAAAAAAAAAAAAAAAGAAGAAGTTTCCATTAAATTTGACATGGGTCAAATGTAATCTCACCTTCTACATAAGGAGTTGGGTCTCCAATTTTTCCTGGCATCTGGTCGGCAGGCTTGAGTACTTCCATGTCCAGTATAACCACCACACGTCTGTATAGAACAAACACAAAAGCTCAATAATATTCATTAATGAAAATATACTACAGTTCAAATGTTTGAGGTTAGTAAGATTTTTTGATAGAAATTAACACTTATTCCGCAAGAATGCATTAAACTTCCCACAGGTATTCATAATGTTATTCATAAAGATTTCCATTTCACATCAACACTGTTTCTTATTATTCTTTAAAATATCCTGAAAATAAGCATACAGTTTTCCACAAAATATTATGCAGCACAACGGTTTTCAACACTGACAGTAAGAAATGTTTCTTGAGCAGCTTAATCATCATATTAGAATGATTTCTGAAGGATCATGTGACATTGAAGACAGGAGTAATGATGCTGAAAATTCAGCTTTGCCATCAAGAATAAATTACATTTTTAAATATTTTAAAATAGTAAACATTTATTAGTATATTTATAATATTGTTTTACTGTATTTTTGATCAAATAAATGCTGCATTGGTGAGCATAAGAGACTTCTTACAAAAACATAAAACAAATCTAACTGCCCCCAAACATTTAAATAGTAGGATAAACAAAGCAGAGCCACAGGGACATTTGCTAATAACAACTACTGTAAGAAATGTATCTGATAAAGACCTGGAGACGAATCCTTACCGTCCATCCTTGAGAACATTAGTGACGCTCCTTTTCAGCATACACACACAGTTAGAGGCCAACTGGTTTTGCTCAGCCATGGGATTGAGCTGTGTGGAGAGCATGAATGCTGCATGCAGGGGACAAATATTAAAAAAATTCATGGTTTAGGACAGCCTTTCTCATATTTGCATGTTTTAGAAAAGCTGGGGTTTACATCCTAATGACATGAGCAAAAGACTACTTTTAACAAATATCACTTACTCGCACTTTTATAGTCACACTGCTTATCCAAATTATCTCAAATAGACCATTCAACTTTCAAACACATAAGCACTGAACATGGACATTTAAATGTGCAACAAAAGTACTAGAGAAATATATGGCTTTGGTGCTGATGATCAAAAAGCAAACAGATGTTTTAAAACAACATCCTCCTGCTGCACATGAAAATGACAATGTATTTTAAGGACAGACACCAAATGAAACACACAAAGGCATCTGAAAATTGATCAAACTTACAGGACATAGTGTGCAGCCCATCACTCATCATGAGACGGAAACGGGACAAGCCATTTCCCCCATCAATCTTGCGGATGTTCTGGAGAGAATATTCAACATTTAACACTCTAATAGTAAAGATAACTAGAATGGAAATAAATGGTCTGGTGTATTAAAGAAACCAAACTTTCAGAAGCTAATAAAAACATTAAATTACTAAAAATACTGATAAAAAAAAGGCTAGACTTAAGGTTTAACTTGTTAACATGAACTAAAAAAAAAAAAATTCTACAGCATTTATTAATCTTAGTTCATGTTTATCTCAATATTTATTTAACAAATGTTAACAGACACAACTTTTAATCTTAAAGATGTTTAATGCACTGAACACGAACATTTGTATTAAATAAAATTAACAACGGTTAATAAATGGGTGTTATTAATATATTGCTCATTGTTACATGCATTAACTTATGTTAAAAAAATTATACCTTATAAAAATACATTATTTCATGCATTAATTTACTTAAATGTATACATTAACATTTTATTCCCCTCGGAAATCACAGAATCTGATAATTGTCATTGTTTACAATATTGGTCTTTTGTCATTGTCTAAAACTTGGATACCTAGAATATAAGGTGATGTAACAAAATAACTTTAATAACTTGTAAACAGTGTGCAATGAATTGACAGTTAACTTACCACACATTGAAGAACAGGGTTGCTGACTTCCACTCCTTTAGTCAGGGACTGGGGGGAAAGTACACAATACAAAACACTGTTACACTCAGATCATAAATCATGTCAACAATATCAGTGAATTCAGATATCTGACTTATTCCACACACATTCACAGACCACATGATTAAGTATTTTCCATCTACAATGACAGAGACTGTTTTTATATGTTCTGTTCAGTATCCGCTGCTGCAATTGCATTGAGCAGTTTAACGTTAACGTTATATAAAAACACTTGCGTCTCTGCATTGCGTCGACACGTTTCATCCTCGATTTTAACCTTTTTACAGTTCACACGTGTCATTATCGAAAAGGGTGAGCAGAATAAACAGAAGGCAATGTTAATTTTTTTGATTTTATCTCACTCACTGTCACAGTCCGAAACCGAAGAAAGTCTTGCTGGCTAACGTTAACTAACTTAGCATGTTTTGGTCTGCAACGGTTGAAATAATGCTGCGGTCCTATTCTTACCTCAATCGCCCCTTCTGACAGTATAACAGTCATGTTTTCACAAAAATATAGCGAACGAAAGATTAATGTTGTATTGACAAAAGATCACAAGCGTCTCTGGTCCGCAACACTTTCCTGTATCCTCGCGCCAACTCACACCAAACCCGCGAAAGTGCGATAGCGATGACGCGTTTCCCGTTTCGATCTACTTCCGCTGAACGTCAAAATAAATACAGACAGATGTCTATGGAGATTGTCTATGGAGATACAAACCATACAGACGAGACAAATGTTTCTTGAAGCGGACTACTTTTATTCCTTTTTTGATTCAGTAAGTTTTGCGAGTCTGAAAATGTTTTAATCATTTGTTGTGAGGTTGTGAACTATTTAATGTGCTAATGTTTATTATTATATAATTTTATAGATTTATTTTAAGTTAATTTAAAAATAAGAGTATTGTCTTAATAAACTAAATAATTGCAGTTTTTTTACATTGCAAAAAAATGTTGCTCTGAAAATAAAAAATGCATTTCATACACCCCAGTTGTAAAAAAAAAAAAAAAAGGTTTCTATCTTCTTTCAAAATAATGATATAACAAATGTAGGCTACAATTGTTTCTTTTTTCCAGTCCACAATGTGCTCTGTGTAAAACGGATAACTCAGATAAATCATATGATATATTATGATATATCATTTAAATTTAAAAGAAAGTTGTTTCCCCTGCAGCATAAGAAAAACTGACAATCAACAAACCTACTTAGTGTTGTCATGTGACAAATACAATTTAATTTATAAAATACAGTTGATTATTGATTTGTGATTTTGTGTCCACTACATTTTTACCAGTATTAATAAAAAATAGTGATAATCTGAAGAACGTTTGTAAAATCGGATAAAATTCTGAAAAGTGATATCTCTGTTAACAGATTGTTGTTATCGTACCTGAAACAAGGCAATATTTCACTAAAATAAAATAAAATCAAAATGATAATTTTCATTTTTGGGAGAACTATTAACCAATTAAATAAATCCACTTATGAGACACATATGAATTTCTGTTAAAAGTGTCTTTAATTAAAAAAAGAAAATCATGACTTTTTAACAAGATTAGCAAGGACAACATTAATTCACATAAGGGGGAGTAATTTCAAATTATCTTATAGACCTCAATGTACTTTTACAAAATATGTCCTTAATTTGCTTCCCAGTGGGGACCAACTATGCAGTCAAAAATCACTTACGGACTCATTCTGCTAAAACTATGAAAACTACTTTGGATCAACTTCAAAAGATACTGGCTTGTCATTAGTTTTATCTGAATTTCCAGGGTTTGTGACCATAGTGGATGCTCCAGGGTTTGGGTTGGAAATTACTCCCAGAAAAAATGGCGTTTGGCTCAGGTCATCCATTAGGGCAAAGAAAAATGGCTGATTGACAGTAAATGTAGGATTGGAACGTGAGATGACCACACTTGTTGCGGCCGCTGCCTCTGCCCCTTCTTCGTTTATCTCAATACT